ATTTATTTATTTATTTTATTTTTTATTACCTGATTTCCTAGCATAAAATCAGTCCAGTTTCTAAGTACAACTGTTTCACAGGTCCACCATAAAAAAGCATCTTGGGAAACCAAATTCTTTCAATTCACTTTTGTCCTATAGGTTTCCAAGCCTTAGTCCCATAACAGAGAGCTCAGACTCAACCAGCCCGCTTCCGTATTTACTATCTCCTTGAATCCAGCTTAAAAAATAGATAGCAGGAACCTTAATTGCTGAGGACTGCCCTGAGAACACATGGCATGTCCCCATTGGAATGCTGATAATGCTATGGAGAAAGCGCAAAACGGGATTACCAAAGTTAGACAAGAGAATTCCTTTCTAACTTCTGATAACCAGCTGCTGGGATTTCCTTGGGGGTGAAGCACACAATTACCTTCCCCCTCGGTCGGTCGACCCAGGAAGACCCGAATACAGTCAGTTGAACATAGCTAACCTTTTCCCACCAGCCCCGTGGACCGAGAGATCGGCGTTTGTCCGTTGGGAACAGGATTTCATCACTCGTATCTGGCAGCTGCTTTGCCCTTACCTCTGACAAAAGTCACAGTTTCCATCTTATCACGATGCACGAGACTGCATTACGGCAGTATTTGTTGGCACTATTATTCTTCGCTACTTGTGGCAGACAGAAGGCAGAAAACATGAGCTTAAAGACAGACCTTAGAAAATGGAGAAAACTGTTTAAGATTCTTGTACAGTACCTCTACATCCCTGCTTCTGGCAACTTCAGCGAAATTTTCTTGTTGTTCTAGAGTTTTATCCACCTTGTCATCTGTCATGCAAAAACATCTTAACCGTGCTTCGATGGGATCATGTGATTTGGCAAACACCACAAATTTGGCCATGTAGGGGACACAGATAATCTCTCTGTACACTTGGGAAGCAAAAGTAACAGATTCTTGTGTCTGTCGACAGTCTATCAACCAAAATCTGTAAAAGAAAATGAAGAGTTGTGTAATCAACACAGAAAGATTTCAGCAAGAAAATGGTATGTTTTCCCATCCTGGCAGCATTAGCTGGTAAACCACACCAATTGTATATGACAAGTCAGAAAAAAAGTAAAAAAAATAGTTATGATTTGGGAAGAACAGGCTAAGAATGCTCATGGTACCCTCTGTGCATTTAGGAGCATGAAGCAAAAAGGGAAAGCATTAGGACCAGAACTTCCTCCCCTAAATACCAGATGCAAAGCCCCCACGGAGCCTCCCGCCCCCCAAACCCCAGGCCATCATTTGCCTTGCTGATAAGATCTCACGCAGCTGGAAGCTTATTTGCTTCCAGGTACGCGCCTGGCTTTTAACAGCTATAAAAATTCACTTCTCCTGTGGCAGACAGTCTCATACACCTTCTCTGACGATTTAAATATATGAACTTTCTCATATCTGTTTATGAAATATATATATATTACGTTTATAAGTATTTTTATAATATTTAAACAATTATTGATGCCTTACCAAAATCAAGAAATTCTGGAAATTCATCACAGTTTCCAATAAATGTTTTTTCTTCTATTCAACTTTGTTTTCATCTGAATTGACTTCTTATAGTGAGAATATGTGATCAAATGTTTGCTGCCTTTTACCAAGAAAGAAATCTCTTCTCAAATAAGCTCAGTACTCTCTGTTTTCCATCGCTTTCAACAGTTTCTGATGACATTTGAAACGGCAACTGATCTTATCGCCATTCTTCTAGAGCTTCCCAAAATGTCTCTGAATTTGTTCTTGTTTATCACACAGCATTATTTTATTTCTGTGCAGAATGTAAGTAGACATGGGTATGCTGGAAAAGCACAGTTTGCATTTCCTCCTAACTGTGACTCTGCAACATCTGCCTTTCATCCAGGGAAATACAGGGTCCTTCTGACAGCTGCTAAACACCTGACGACGCAGATGAGAGTAACGTCCCATAAAAATCTCACTAAAGTCGCTCATATCTAATCATACGCCGAGCCTGTCATTTCTCTTCCAGTTTATGACTAAATTGTTAAACTCCAGATGGGGCATTTTCATCCTTTTCTCTTCACCCCCTGAAATCTTCCTCGGCATTGTATGGTTTTGTGTTTGCTCAGTGCCGGACACATCGGTGTACCGCACTCAGGCATTAGCGAACTGTGTACAAACTTCTGACGTGACGGGGACGCTGTGAAGGTTTCCTGATTTTTATTGATGAGGAACAGGAGACTGAAACGGCTTTTGGCAGGTGTTGCCAAAAATCCTTCAGTGTTCTAGGACCTCCACCTCTCACAGACGAGATATAAAGCTGCCTTGCCCCAAAAACTTGGGTTTTTTCTACCATCTAGCTTAAAGGTTAGCAGTACATCCCTTCCATACAACCTCAAAAACGGAGGGTCCTTAGGCGAACGTAAATGATTTTGTCCACCATATAACACCTCATGCAAACCCAGAAATTATTCTTCTACGAATTTAGTCAGGGACTTTTAACTTTGATTTTGTGCTAAGTTTTTTGTGTGGCGTATCAAGGACCAGCGATCAATATATTTCTCTATCTGAGCCATATTATATTTTGAGAACCCAGAAAGCAGATGTGTCCACATCCTATTCCTACTACCCCTGCCTCACAGAGGCTGTGATCACCGCCGACTCGCTTTTCATCATGGTTTCTAACGTGCCATTTTACTGACAGCATCTTTCTAAAGTCTGTGCTGAGTAAGTCAAACGTAAACATGTTCAAAGCAAGAGGCGAGTACTACTGGAATAAATTACTTCCTCTGCACGGTGTGAAGCCAAGAGCTGCCACTGCTATCTCATTCAGGTACCACCATGCCAGAGAAATACTTCAAGATTTCAAGGCAAGGTCACAAGTTGTGTGATTTCACTAACATAATTATTACAAACGAACGCCCGCCTGTTACGACGTATTGCTAGTGCATGTGAATTGGAAGAAACCACCTCAAAACTTATCAAACGTACACGGTGACTTCAGACATACCGTGGGTGTTGCAACTCAAGTCTAGAACTTGAGCTTCCAGAACAGGTCCTCTTGTGTCAAAAACGACCCTCCCCTTTACTGAAAACTACGGGTTCTTCACCCTTTTTTGGGCCAGGAAAACATAGCCCGGTAAGAAAAGTTTAGAGAATTTCCTTATACCTTTGTCGAGACAACCGAGTTGTTATTTTGCAAAGATAACAACTTTCACTTAAAATAATTTTACTTCTGCTCCCAAAATGTAACAGCAGAAACGCACCCAGCATTTTAAAAGGAGTAACACGTATTGCCTTCTTTCTCAGATATCATTTCATTTAGTTTTTCTGTGGAGCTGATGACATTTCTTTTAAATAAAATTCGCTGTGTGGGTGGAAAGCAAGCTTGAGTTTGACACCCGTAGGATGGAGACGGAAGTCATGAGAGGTCAAAGACACCTCAAAAACTGATATAATCTACAGGGGGCTTATTACTTACTGTAGATTACATGGTATTATAACCCACAAAGCATACCTTTCAAGCGTGATTTCTCTGGTCTTACTCATCTGCAGTTGAATAATAGCGAATTTCATGCTGGGCTTATCTTTAGAACATTTAACAAACACGCTGGTTAAAAAACAGGCTGATGACATTTGAAAGAGAGAAAGCATGTTTGGTACATAAAGGCTCTGCGTCCTGATACCTTCCTCTCCGTGTGTGGGAGAACTGTGCTATGCTGGGCTCAAACTGGAGAGGCTCTATCCTCTGAGAAAGCACCGTATGCTCCAATGTATACGCCAGGGGCTAAAAAGCCCAAACAGATCCTAAATTTTTAAAAAAAGCTGCCGCTCAGGAAATGGAAAACAGCTATGCCTCCAAGTCTGCAGTTTAATTCACATGGATTTTAGACAAATCTCTTTCCGAAGCTCATTTTGGACAGAATTAATCTTATGAATTTAAGATTTAACTAGACGTAACCAAGTTACTGTGAAGAGCAGACAGTCAGGAATCGGCTGGCTCTCGGCAGGGCACAAGGGTAGATGTACTTTTAGACCAGGGCACAAGTGAAGAAACTCGAGTTAGCTTGTCCTTCAGCAAAGAAGGTAATTAGTTCTCTGACTGCAAAAACATGAAAAATCCCGGTTTTTAACTTTAACAGCTTTTAAAATCAGGTTTGGGCTAAAGCAGTCTGTTGAACATTCATTTAGATTAAAAAGAAGAGGTAGAAGCCGTTCAAATCTCTACATGGGACCCCGCCTGTGTCGCAGAACATTAGCAACAGTAATCAATTTTAATGTCATCATCGGGATTAGGAAACATCCACTACCAGTACAGACTGTAGTTCCATTAAACTGTCGTCCGTCCCCGCCCCCCCCCCCCCACACACCGCGAG